TCTTGAGAGAGCCGAAAAGTTATCTGCAACTTCTAGGGTTTTTTTGGTAGATTGCTTTTTATCAAACCAGCAAAGTTCCACATGTTTCTTATAAAAGGCGTAAAAAATACAGTTGTTTCAAATGAATATGTATTAAGTGGACTGTAAAGACTTTCTGTTGGGAAATTATCATGGCTGTATAGGTATGGTCTTTATTGGAAATCAGCTGAGCTAATATTGGAAGAATATTCCTTTAAGATGCTTAGGTTGGTAAAGGAATTAAATGAGTTCCATAGATGTGTTTACAACACTGGCAGGGAAATACAATAATGTTACACTTGAACAGGTTCTAAAACTAAACTATCATTTCCCCAGCTCATTGAGAATTTGGCATGCTCTGCTCTCTGCAGCAGTTCAGGTCTCCTTTCTGGGAGTCTGCCTGCTTTTGTTTTCACAATCCTGAAATTTTAAAAGGCAAAGTCCAGCTCTTACTTTGTGGCTTAATCTTTGATCAGTTATATAAGAATTGAAGGTGGGTGAGGAATACTGTGTTCCTCTCATCCCAGACGTGACATATGCATTTTAAATAGTAACAATATACTATTTTACTGCTGTTCTGAATCCTCAGTCAGGCTGAGCCTGGTTGTAATAAAAGCTGCCTGCATATCTTTTGTGACAGGCTGTGCCCTAGTGAAACCTTTAATCAGTCAGAACTATAAAATAAAGGAGGTGTGACCCTGGCGTAATGGAATAAATGAGGAGGTCATGTTTTCCAAGTGCCTTGATACTCGGTTAATAATGATGAGGACAGCTTGGTATCATAGTGTGGGTTATCAAGGCATGAGAAAGACCATGTAGGAGACAATGAAAAAGTGCCTAAAGCCTGAAGGGTGTTGGGGGATATGAACAGAATTGGAACTCTTTGCTCTGGGAGGCACAGGACAAATAGGACAGTAGGAGATGAAAATAAGAAATTATATGCTGGCTTCAGCTAATTCTACTCTGTGTCCAGGACATGGACGTGATTTAACCAAGGGAATACCATTGGTAGGATTTTTCTGAGCAGGTGATAAAATGTTCTTCTGGATACATTTTCTCGCCTTTGGGTGAAAATAATACTATAAAGTTTTGTGGAACATACGTGCATGTCTGTTATATCCCTTTCAGATGTATATTTATGAATATGATGTAATTAATTATTTCATGAATCCATTTACATTCTGGGCATTTAACCAGAAAAAGAATTACTGGATAAGATTTTAGAAATTAAGTCTATGAAATATAATATTAATGTATCTAAACTGAAATTGAAAAAAACCCCAAACCTGAAGTGTCTGATTTGGTTTAGATATCTCCAGGTTTAAAGCTTTCCATTGTCTTGTATCCCTTTTCAGTTTTGAATTTGGATTGCTATAACATGCCAAATAACTGAAAAATATGTAGGGAGGAAAGAAAGGGGGAAGTTAAGGGGGAGGAATAGAGTTTGTAGAGCAAAATATTTGGTTATTGATTAATATGCAGTAGATAGAAATCTTTTTGATGGTGCATTTATAGTTAGAATGAATAGGTCACCTAGAGAAGGGATCAGTCATGAATTACGGGAAAGTAGATTAAATGGGTTAGTTACCTCTCCCTTTTTGCAGGCTATTTGATTCTATTAAAGAAATTACTTAACTTGGCAAGAAAAGTTCAGTTTGCATTTCGCTTGTTCCTCAGTGCAGGCTCAAACTCTTCCCTTCAGAAAGTGTACTTGTAACGGGTAGTTTTTAAAGCAAGAGAGACTTAGTGCCAGAAGTCTCTGAATATGTGGTATTTCTGAGATGGTCTGAAATACTTGAGCTGTCTCCTGTAGCTACCTGGAATTTCTTGGCTGTATTGTAGGGCTCTGGTGAAATTTGTTACTGGCTACAAAGTAACTTGGAAATCCCAGGACCAAAGGAAGAGAAGTGGCCTGTGAGTCCTGTAGTTCAGCCCCTCTGCCCTGGGGAAGGGTCGGTGCCTGGCAGAGCTTTGGGGTTGGCCTTGTTGCTGCCAGGATCTCCTCAGGCAATCTGTTCCCCTGCTTTGTTTTCCTTTCTGCTGAAGTAGTTTTCCTTTCTGGCTAATTTGGATCGTCTTTGATAAACTTTAAGTCCACTGTTGTGTGTTGACCACAGACAAGAACAGTTTGCTGCAAAGAGAAAAGGAACAGCTGCTTGTATTTATTCATGTTAACTGTTTGGAAGACTCATAATTGCCCCCTTTGTTTTCCATTCCTAAATCTGAGCAGCTTTGGTTTATACAGTCTTTCATAGTAGATTCACTGTGTAGATCATAACATTAATCACATCACGTCCTCTAAAGATTCATCTGTAGCCCACATCTTAAAGTAAGAAAACAGGGACCTTCATTAAAAATAAAAGTGCTTAACCTGATTTGCTACCAAGAATTCCCATCTCGGAATTTTGTCATCTTATAGCTAAGTAATATTGATGAGTTTGTACATCAGTACAAGACATTATAATGTTACTTTTTTATTAGTTTTATTATTGTGTTCTTACATAACTAACTAGATTAAACCTTTTTGTGCTGTGAAGGTTAAGGGGTGTGAAATTACTTTAGACTGCCTTCAGTCACATAAAGTATCATTTTAACTGAGCCAATTCTTGCTGCAGTGAAGTTTGGCAGTCAGAAAGTTCTCTCTGCAGCAAGTTGACACTTGTCACTGTTATATCACTTTCTGTTTCTGCATAATGATATATTTTTTATGTTAGTGGTAACTTGAGTTGCTTATAGACTAATGGTTTTTAGTTGTTCCCTGCATGAGTGTCTTTGGCATTTAAAAAAAAAACAGGTGCACTGTTGTAGAAATGATTAAGAAGTAGTCTAAACAAGTGAAACATCATTTGTTTGATTACAAAGGATTGCCAGTTTTGTAAGTAAGTTTTGCTGCAGAGTGGGTTCAGACTAGATAGTGTTCCCATGTGTGGCTGTTCCTATTTTATATGAGGGAGAGCCACATTAATGTGCAGTGTAAGTATGAGCAGTGAATATTTACTGTAAAAAATCACAAACTGAAGAATAGCTTGTTTAGTTGGTCAAATGGTAAGCCAGTGGTGTTCTGTTACTGGATATGAAAGCAAATGTAACAGCCACAGATCAAGACCTTGTTGCATGTTATTCATAATTTCGACATTGTGCAGGTTGTACAGGTTATTGGATTATAAAGGTTGATGCCAAATAGGGTACCCACAGGAGAAAAAGACTATTAAATACATAGACATCTGCTCCTGTTTTCAAATTACATGGGAGAAATGGGTAACATATCACACTAATGCAGATGCTTTTTGTTATTCAGAAGTTATAATTAAATGCAGTTTCTTCTGTGGTTGGTGATGAAAGTGTGAGAGCAGCCTCAGAGCGGGGAAATGTTTCAGATTATGCAGACCACAACTGACTGTCACACATCAGCACCACAAACCCTGTGCTGGCTTGGCTTGTTATATTGTAGTGCTCAGGCCAACCCATATTTGCAAACCACATTCTCCCCCAGCCTGCCATGTTCCCAGCCCTGGGATGAGGAATGTGAGCTCCCTGCCACAGGTGGGGTGAAGCTCAGTTACTGACTGCATGTGGAATCTGTGACTAGAGGCAAAGTGCGTAGATGTTAATCTTTTGCTATTATACAATTATTGCTGGAAGTTACATGCTTAGGTTCTCATCCTTTGAAGGGGGCGGAAGTGACAGACAGACAGACAAAGCTCATTTTGAGGTAGCTACACACTCAAATAGGACTGGAGAGGTATGGCAAGCATTTGTTTGTGGACAGTGCCTTTTTTTTTTTTGTCTCTCAAATGAATTGATATGTGTGTGTGCTTGTTGGTACAAAGGTTGTTCAGACTATGAATAAACTAGTTAAAGGATGGTAATTTTAAAAGGATGTTCTGCATATTAATAATTGTGAGAAACAGACATTGGAAACCTGCTTTGAAAACTTGTGATTCAGCCAGTTGGTCAAGGGAAGCAAATGAAAATACATCTAATTTCTGTGTGACAAAGTTGAGTTCTTTGCCCAGGGCTAACTGAGAAATCCTGACTATATCTGCCTCCAAGAGTGGGTAAACTTTGGGACCCAAATCCACAGGGAGATGAGGATGGGTAGTTGTAACTTCTTAGCTGTGCTGATACCTTTCCAACCACGAGGTCAGGATGTTGAAATATTTGGACACAGCTTGAAGGGTTAGCTCTCCTTGTGGTAACAGACCCTGCCCTTCGTAATACTCCCCAGCTTCCTTCAGAATAACCCCTCTCTTTGAGGTTCTTTCTTTCACTTTCCTTGTGTTGCTGAGTGGACTAAGTGGCAATGAACACCAGAGACCAACAATTTGTCCTGTCTTTTTGTTTGATGGGAGTTTCTGTGTAGGATTTGGTGGGTCATCTTGAATAGCTCTTTCTCTTGAAATGAAAATAGGAGGCCTGGGGGAAAGTGGTAATGTAAGAGTTAACTATAGCAGCATTTTTGATTGGTTGGAAATCAACCTGTCCCCTTACATTATTGCTTTCATAAAAAGTTCCACATTAGATCAGAGTTCCTGAAATACTATTGCAACCACTAGCAATCTTCATTGTTGGAGGCATCAGAGTGGAACAGAGCAGCCAGTGTCTGTTTGTCACCAAAACCAACCTTATTTCATGCTTTTGCTATTGTGACAACAGTTTTCATTCTCCACATTTCTAAGCTTTGCATCACTCAATGCTTTCCATTGCTGAGAACTAAAGAAAAACTGTTTCTATCCACATAATCCAAAAAAAACCAAAAAACCGCCCAAACTTTTTGTCTGAATGGTTGGTGGCTGTAGGAAACGTCCTCTTATACTGGTAGGACAGGCAGTCCTCTGACAGGCTGGGAATGAAAGAAGTTACTTGCTATGTCATTCCACTTCACTTATGACTGCAGAGTGAATGGCTGGACAAGGGTATTAGTGCTCTCCTCGGTTTACAATATGAATTCTAATTCCTGAGTCGATGTGTTGTGCCTACAGGTTCCCCAGAGGATAGAAGAGCAAGGAGATGCATCTGAGGACAGCAGTGCAGGAATCCCAGGCATGTGGGGCAACTGGGGCCCCTGGTCTGCCTGCTCCCGGAGCTGCAGTGGAGGTGTGATGGAGCAGACACGGCCCTGCCTTCCTGCCTATTACCGGGAAAGGGAGTGGGATCAGGGGTACCGGCGCCCGGGGTGGCAGTTCCCAGCCTCGGACAGGACTCACCACAACCCCCACCAGGAGGACTCACTCTCTGCCTATCCCGGACATGTCATTTCTGCCATCCGGACATCTGTGCCACTCCACAGGAACGAGGAGCAGCTTTGGGCTGGGCTTCGTGCCCCTGTCCCTGCTGGGGGCCGTAACAGCAGCCACGGGGGCAGGGGGACACTAAGGGGCAGCCGGCACTCCCAGAACCAGCAGCATTCCCAGAACCACCGGCACAGCGCCCAGGCAGAAAAGAGGTGCGTGTCCACATGGCATTCCCAGTGGCAATGATGTTTCTTCAGAACGACGTGGCAGATTAGAGCTGATATTTTTTAATAGTTATGGTAAAGTTATTAAAGATTGAGATTGATTTTTGCAGCCTTTACCATCCCCTGTAGAAGGGTGTCCTCCCTCACTACTATGTGATGAGATATGACTATATAAATGATAATATCCAAGGACACATATAATTCTTCTACAGTTGTGCTAAGCAGATTATCTCATTCCCCTTTGTCTTATTCTCCTTTTGTGTTATGATTTATTGGGAGATTTTTCCTTTTCTGCCACACTCTCATTAGACATTTCCATCTTCCTCATAATACTAAAAATCAGAACAAATAACAGCTCTATAATAGTATTCTTAACTTCCATGGCCAGTCTGATTTTAATCGGCTGAAAAAAAGATTAATCTAACCTTTTTTTCATAAAGGATGGCCAACTGTCTGTTCAGTTTTTCTAGGTTTGTTTTGTATTTTCCAAAGAATTTCTGTTTATTACCTTTTTATTTTCTCTTTTTTTGCTTTTTTTTTCTTTCTACCACCTCTTTTAGCAAAATTTCCTGTTTGAAGAAACAAACAAAATTGTTTAATACACAGAATATTTTAAACACTGTATATGTTTATATTAATTTTGTAATAACAGTTGCTCAGTCTTTAAGGTTGTGTGGAACTGTGTTGTTGAAAGTAATCCCAATGATTTCTCCCATTTCTGAGGAAATACTTTTTTATCTTCTTAGATACCAATCTATCAGAGTTTTTTAATGTATGTATGAAAGGAAAATAGATGTGTTTCTAGTTTGGAAGCTGAGCAGAACAGGTGTGGAGATCCCCTGGGATGGAGTGCTCCTGAAATGTTTCTATTCTGTCTGTCTTTGAATGTGTATTCCAGCAGTTCTCTCGTTCTTTCCCTCTCAACTCTTTTCTGGGAAATGCATGAAGAGAAGTTTTTTGGGGTAGTTAACCAAAAACCCCACCCAAGCCAAACAAAAAGCATTGAAAAGCCATAACCAAAGAAACCTTCCCTCATATCATCTATTTCTTTAAGATTCCTAGTGATACAGTCAGCTGTAGTTACCTCTTTAAAACCATGTTGCTGCCCAAACAACACAAAAAAGAATGTTACCTTGAGGCAGTGTTCCAGCCTGACTGGAGTAAGACAGTAGAACTCTGTTGCTGCTGATAAAGACATTCTCATCCCCTGCAAGAACCTCTCTCCATCTAAAAGAATAGTTGAAAATAGAATTAACCTGTTAGCCTGTTGTTTGCCTCAGTGAAGCATAAATTTCAAGCAGGAGAACCAGCTGTTCAGATGTTGATCCTCATTTCCTTTGTCACTGCTTTGTCTATCAAACCCGTGCAAATGATAGCCTAGAGCTGTGGAGTATAAATCCAACATGGCACTGATGATCTTGGAGAAATTCAGGGAATGCCAGAGACAGGCACAAGAAGTGTCAATATGACTGCATTGAGGCAAAAGTCATATTTTCTTTCTCCTGTTTTTCTACTTCATAATTTGCTATAAAGCACCCCTGTTCTGGGCTGTGCAGCGTGGCAGCCACAGATTGTTGTCCATGGCTGGGTTATTGCTCATTGCAGGAGCCTGGCCCTGACCCCTTAGCCCAAAGTCATCTGAAGCCTGTTTGCTCCAGCCCCTTGGCAGCCTCTGTGTCCAAGGGAATCCCAGCTGGCCTGGCCTCTGCAGCAGCCATGCTGGCACAGCTGGGCTCCCATCCCCGCAGGCTGGCCATTGCTGCTGGGGTGGCCTCTTCAGGCCTGCACAACTGGAACGGTTTGGAACAATCACTGCAGGATTGGCTGCAATGTGAGAGGATGACGAGCAGGAAATGATATTGACTGTGTGCAGAAGTGAAGCTGTGTTATTTCCTAATAGATGCTGTTAAAATGATCACAATATCTGTTGTGCCTCCACTTTCCTATATGATGGAGGCCTTTGCTTTTGAAAATTCTTGTGCTTTCCTAAGCAAAGTGCAAGCTTCTGTACCACAGTTGATTTTCCACCCCCATACACACACCACCCCTTGGCAAAAGACTGTGGACTCAAGGTCAGTGTTTTAATCTTACTTGCATAATAAGTTATTTCCATCTTGTGTTAGCAGGTCCCTGGTGGCTTTAAAGCCTGTCTTATTGCATAACTTTCAGATTCTTTGGTTGTGACTGTAAAAACAGGATGAGAACAAAAAATGTTAGTAGAAAATGGAATTATTAGAATGACAAACCTAATAGTTTTCCTTCATTTGCAAAATCCACAGTAAAAACTTTCTTTACAAAGGAGATTAGTGTCCCTATCGAATAGATGGAAAATGGATTTCAAAACGTGAGTTACTTTAGACATGATTTTTATACTGGAGAACAGTGTTCAGTGTTTGCTAAATTGATGATCCTGGAAATTCATGTCAGGCTATTAAAATATAACACCTCTGTTTCAACAATATGTGCAGTCAGTGGAAACTTTTTTGGGGTATTTCTATTTACTATGCTGGACTTTATATAAAAGCTGTAATTTTTGCAGACTTCCATAAAGCAATAAAAGAGGAATGGATATTTGTGGCTGAGATTGTGCTCACATAGATAACATGGTATAATGAAACTCAACGGATTCCAAGGCAAATAGTTTTGAAAGCAACAGCAATCCTCTACAGCAGACCAGTGTGTTTGTATCATTGAGAAGCAAGTGGAAAAGTTCTCTGCCTGCTTCCAAGCACCTGACAAAGGACTGCTCAGCTTTTTTTTTTTTTTTTTTTTTTTTTTTTTAGCAAAATTCAGGATATGATTTAGGTATCATTAAATTTGATGTACCTTGTCTTTGAAGAGGATATTCACATTTTCAGCTTTTGAAAGTTAGTTTAGTTAGGCACTAGGGAACCAGGGCTGCGCTTGAAGCTCAGGGAGAGAGAGATTTGAGGTACTTACAATTTGAAGCCTAGTTTAAAAGGTTTCAGTGCATCAGAAATGATGGTCAGTCACTGGAATGAGTATGGAAACACTAAAAGCTGAGGCTTCTCTAGGTTGTCTGTCAAAGACAGGGAGCATTTCCCAGCCTTGAAGAGCTGAGTTCCCATTAACACAGCCTTGTTTTCTCTATTTTGCACCTGGCTAAAATGCATGGAGCATATCATACAGTAAGAACAAACAGGAATGAGGAGATGGTGAAAAAATATCACAGTATTTAGAAAAAAAAATCAAAGCATTTAGATATCTTTGTAGAGAGGCACATATGGAAAAGTAATAAGGGCGTGCAAAAGGATAACATGCTTAAAGAGAGAAAACATCTTGAAAGGAAATATCATTCATGGATGAGGTTTTAGTACTTCTTATTCTCTGTTTTGGGGATAGAGAGGACAGAACAAGAATTTCATATAAATTGTAGGATGCTTACAGCTGCCACCTTCTCTCTCTCTGTTGAGAAGCAAGTGGCTTTTGTGGTGGAGTGGCAAAACTTCCGAGTCCACTGTAAGTGTGATGTGCACCTTGTATCTGGTTCTTAGGAGCAGAAAGAAAAAAAGTAGAGTTATCACGAGAATAATAAAATAACTAAAACATTCTTGCATAAACAGTGCAAGTTTAAAGAAATATGTTAACAAGGAAAGTGCTTCCCTAAAGCTTTTATTTTTGTATTTGGAAAAAGAATGAGAGGAAAGATTTGCACTGAGGAAATAATCCAAAAATCATTGACTTCTCACATAGCTGTAACTCTGTGGTCTTTATTCTGCTGCCAACAGCTGACGTGCAAGTCTGCTATGCTGCTGTGTACCCTGGATAGGGTCAGCCTGCGTTTCTAGGCCTGTGAGCAATGGAAAGGAAGAGTCTATCTTTTAATGTCAACCCAGAATTTCCTTTCTGAAAGTGTTTTTTTGCCCCCTCTCACAGATGGCTTTGACCAGGTAAATGTAGGTCACTAAGCTGGCAGGTCTACAGTTAACCTTTAAAGGGGCAATTCAATTGTTATTTCCTTAACCCATTTAAGCATCATTAGCTGTGTGTTGTGATGCAATTTTTGTGACCTGTTCTAGTCAGCTCCAGTTCCAAGAGGTGGACAAATGTGTGATTGCTGCACCTTCAGGTTCAAGAAGGTATTATTTTCTCAAGTTGTGAGACTTTGTGTGTTGGCATGAGTGCTTTCTTTTCTTAGGATCTGGAATGAAACCCATCTCAAGTACTCAGCCATCTCTCCTTTCATTATTTCTCTCATAGAATGAAAATGTCGTGCATTTAACCCCAAGCCCAGCATGGTTATAAAAGCTTATGAGGGGTTGATGTGTGTACAGAAGAAAGACAGAGAGAGAAAGATGGGATCCCTTTCTGAGGATAAATTTTCCAGAAGAAATCTAAGACCTGTGGTGGTAATCAAAGAGCTCATTTTGGTAGCACTTGGGGGATTTAAAGCCGTGTGAGAAAGATGTTTATTTTCCTTCTGAATAAAATTCCAAACAGATTCTAACAGCAATAATGATCATGTGAGGTATTTCCTCCCAGAATGAGTAGGGGTGGTTGTGGCTTCAGGCTGACTTCATGTTGTCACACTTCTCATGTGGGTATTAATCCCTCCAGGTTTCACTTCTTATTACTGAATTAATATCAATTTTTGTTATGCTACTGTGAATGTGCTTTGAATAGTATTACCAAAAATAGAACCCTAACATGTTAGGTGCTGTAATTGCAAGCCACCCCAGAAGCTTTCTTAGTGCTTAGTGCTTCAACCATTCCTGAACTGGGCTGACTGAAAGGAGGGGAAACACTGAGAACACTGCTTGTGTTCAGTTAGATGGAGATAGTGCATTTTACCAGGGAATTATTGCCCAGTTGCTGAGGAGCAGAGACACAACAAACCTCCCATCACATTGGTAATACATATCCACAGAAGTATGAGGTTCTTTGCATTGAATTTCTGTTGGTTTACTTGCCAACTGCATGGTTACATGATTCATTCAAGTCAAGATGAAGCTAAGAGGATCAGAGGT